ACATACTAGGAATGCTGCGAATGTGGAATTTTAGACATCAGCGGATGCGGATGTCTAACAGCTAACAACTGCGGATGCGGATGCGAATGCGGATGTCAAGTATTTTCAAGAAACAATTCGAATCTAGCATAACAGCGAAATCGTTGTTTAAACAGCACTTACAAGCAAATCAGATGTGTCAGGTTTTTCTAAAGCTTTTTAAAAAGAATTCTTCATTCTCATTCCTTTGGCTGTTTCAGAATTTGGGGAACCTGTAACGTCATCAGAATGTTTTGATTGTAGTTTTTGTAATTCATTTGGAATACTTCCTTCTGCGACTGGTTTGAAAAATGTGTGGTTATAGCGAGCTAAATAGGTGGATATGAATGAAAATTTTGAACAAAACTCTGTTTTGAAAGTCGCAGCTGCTAGCCGAATATTGTTATTTAAAAAAAAGCACTCCGTTTTTTATAAGTATTTGAATTATTGGAATTCCGGATGACGAAGATCTCAGATAGTTACGTAATTCTTATCTAATTAAAGGTCAGACCTATAGCTTTTTAATTATTTGAGCATCGATTCTCTTAATAGCCAGACATTGATCATTTCTGCTGGAAATCCCTATTGAAGGACCTTACTCTTTGACTTTAGATAGTAAAGAAGGGAGACGTAGGGGGACAGTTGTTTTACCACAGAAGTTTTTAGCCAAGGATCCAGTGTATATTCGTATGAAATCATCAAATCGCGAAAATGCCTCGTAACCATGTAAACCTCGTAAACTTACTTAATTTTGTATGAAAACTCGAATTATTTGCGAGGTTTACGCGGTACTTCTTTCGGACGTACAGTACGTCTTTCTTAGCTCTTCTACTTCGTACTTCGCAGTACAGTCAAATGTACTTCTTTGCATTATTATGTACGTTATGTCCTGTACTTCTCCGATCTTCTGGACGATCGTCACATGGTCTGGGCGATAAATTCGTTTAAACCCTTCAAGTCGGCGGTGACCGATGGCATCATACCTGTGCAGCTGCAAAGGGTTCTGGAGTTGTCGTGCAATTGGTTGGCTCCTATTTATGCGAACTGCGTGAGGATCAGGTACACAGGTACAGGTAGTCAGTTTTGTGTTAATCCCGAAGGCCAGAAAAGGCTCTCATGATTCCCCTCGCGATTTTGGGCCTATATTTTTGCGAATTTAAAGGAAGACTTAAAATCGTATTTTGTACGTTAATACCGGATTGATTAATACTAATTCTATCAGTTCTCCTCCAAATTTCTGCAGTAGCTTTTGAAATTAGACAGAAAAAGGAACCTCGATTTTCATTTAAAAAAAATATGCATACGTATTTGTAGATGAGATGTTCATCACAGACTAATATGTCAAACATATGCCAATTCAGACCGTAAATAAGTTTTTCCATTATATTTGTCTGAGAGCCTCTTGGATGTTAAAAACTAAATTGCCCGCATCTACATAAACTCTTTGTTTTTTTCATCAGAATCTTTAACGGTTGAGAAAGTATCTTGAAGGTTTACAACAAAAGATAATATTTCCTTCTCCAACGGCGGTTTCACACGGGTTTTTGCCCAAAGCCCAATATTTTTTCATCACACGTCTGGGCTACCAAGTTACACTAAATATTATGTTACTAATATGTGTTCTAAAAATGAAACAAATCTGATCATAAATATGATTTTTTAAGATAGCTCTAAATCCCCGCGCCACCTATCGGAAGACGAACACAGTGATCCTTCTAAAAACTTTTGCACAAAACAACAATCATTCAATGCGATTTTAAATTCTGGGAGAAAATGGTTCCCAGTTGAATGATTCTTGCGATTTTATATGTGTATGAATGTAGGTGTATAAAATTCCATTAACTTATAATAAATGTTTCCAGAGATAAGTGATATGAGAATTTCGGTCCGATTTCAAACAGTTTCAATGTGGCGCTTAAGAAGCTTAAGCGCAATGTGTACACCACATTTGGCTGAGATCGATCAAGTAGTTTTTGAGATACGCATTTATCATATAACTGCGCGCTGCCACTTCCATTCTCCTAAAAACTCCTGAAAAACCACTTCTTTGCTAAAGAACGATTGTATATGTATATCAATTTTAAATAAATATTGATGAATTCCTTAGCCACACTGCTCAAAAAATCTGAAAGTCCGGTACATAAACGATATAAATTCAAGGCCGTATTTAAGAAAAGTCTCCTTCGACAATTTTAATGCGATTGAAATTAATGAGATATCAGTTTATTTGAAAATAGATTTAATTTTAAACGGTATTACATATTTTGAAATTGTGGAAATTATCAATGGTCAAAATTTAAAAAATTAAGAGAAATATGTTTTTTTTTTTATTTTTCCCCATAAAAGATCCCAACAAGCCAAGTCTGAAAATAGATTATTAAATACCATTTTAAAGGCCTATATATCCTCTTCTCAGATGACATTCGATCTTTCAAATCGAGTCAATAATAGTCATTCAAAAACTCATAAATCTACAAACCCTTTTTTTTAACCTAAATCGACAGATCACGACCTCTAAATGACCTTTAAAAATCTATAAAAATAGGCAATAATATTTCTCATAAAAACGAATAAAATTAGGGGGTAGGGTCTTGAAATTTCCAAAAAAAAAGAAATTTCGATGAGCACTCTAATGTACGTAGTATGCATGATTCAATAATTAAAGGTTTGCTCATTATTGACATTAGACTTTTGACACTCCCTTAGCTGACTTAAGGCTCTGTTATGCATACTTGGCATTGCATGCACTGCTATACCATTTTTACGTAGAAATCAAAAACCAACAGACTTTTACGTATGTAATGCTGTGCGTTGGGTAACCGCTTACACGCGAAGCTCATTTAACAGATTCCTTATGTGACAACTCTCAAGCAATGCCAAGTATGCATAACAGAGCCTTTACAAAAGCTTTGCACACACACACGAACCCACACACAGTGCTTTGCTAAGGGAGCCGATTTTGTCAAGAGGGAGCGAGAAAACTGCTTTTTGAGCAAACCTTTTATTATGGAATCATGCGTAGCATGATACAAAAAAGGAGGTAGTTTCAATAAACAACTTTTGACGGATAATAAAATTTTTTGAAGTTTCATAAATTGTGAGTATTATCATCGGCCTTGCCACTTTGATAATATTAAAACAATAAATCGGAGTGTTTTCCTTCCCATATTTATACCAATGTAATAATATTTCAAATCAAAAACCTTTATCAGTGCTTGGTACTTTTTTTACTTACGTAGCTCGCACTATTTTTATTAAAAATATATAAAATATAGACTATTAAAGAAGCCTTCATCGTAATTGTTCTTTTTATTTTATAATAAAAACCACGCGCGCATTATGCTGTTATTTTTTCGTTTTTTTAATTTTGAATGCAATCTTGCGATCTAAAAATCTAATTTTAAAGAATCTTCTTCCCAAATAAAAACTTTTAATATTTTGGTTCAAATTTACTTTTAAATTTCTCATCAGATTTTGCAACAAATTAGCTTTCACAAATTTTGAACTTAAAGTTTCTATTGTATGCAAAAAACCTGAAGGCCGCTTGAACGGACTGCCCTCCAATAAACAATTAACATATCGTCGTATAAAGTACAAAACCGCGTATCAGCAAAATGCAAAACCGCCTATGTGAAATTGTAGAAATTATTTTCTAGAGTGTAAAAACACGCATCTTCCAAAATGGTTCTCTTTTTAATAAAGCAATCGCATATCTGCTTAGTATATGTCAGTTACGCGGTTTTGCAGAACGGCGATACGCGGTTTTGTACTTTAAACGACGATATGTAAGTATAATTTTGATCACTTTCTTCATGCGTTCTGAAACCTAGTCATCAACACCATTTTCGAAATCATGTAGGCGGCATAATTTTAAAGTCCATCATATTCCACATCTTTGAATGTGCTGATAAAATCTTCTGCTTTAAAAAAAAATTTTTTTCTAGTGATCAGGTACCATGAATTTGATGAAATGTCATAATTTTATTAAAAGTCAAATGGTTAACAACAACAACGAATGTCATTAAATGGAACTACCTTCTTTTTTGTATCATGATGCGTAGTATGCTCATAAATAAATTTTGTTTGTACCTACGTTTGAAAATATATCAAGGGAGTTCAAGATTTGTAGCATTTTAGATGTTTTTTATCCCATTTGGCCATAATGCGTGGACTACGATTACAGTATTACGTAATTGTTAAATTTTAAGGATTACAATTAAAGTTTTCGCAGTCAAGTATATCATAATTACAACTACAATAATCGGAATGTTAAATATTTTTTCGATTACAATTATTAATCGTAAACCTAAGTAATCTAAATGTAATCGCAATCCCAAGTGCTCAGCTCTGGTGTTAGCTAAGCTTATCTGGGGATTTTTACGTTGATGACATGGCAAGTTTACTTAGTATCTGTTTATGAGGCAGCGAAAATGTTAAAATGTTCTTTCCTGGCACGCATTTTTAACTTTCATTTTTAGACACCTTTGCGTACGTGCCATGAAGATTTTGCCTGCGATGGCCCCTAGTAAAATTTTCTGGAGCACATCAATCATCTAGCGAACTTCCAAATTTTAATTTTGATGGATCTCTTGAAGTAAGGGTCAAAACGACCCTTTCAGGCGGGAGCTATGAAATTTTACTACTTACATACATCTAAACATTTCATATCATTACTGGATAGATAAACTTTCAGAAAAATTTAATAGTGTCCGGGCTGGTTTTGGCTGTCGCACAATGTTGTAATTTATTTTCTTTCGAAAAATACCCAACAGATATACATTTATAGCGATTTTGACCATACACATACCTACCAACCATAACCAAAAAATTCGAAAGTTCTAGAGATATGCCCATATATTAGGCTATACTGTTTGTTTTTACTTGATCATTTATAAATTTATTGAGACAGAAAATATGTATTTACAAATTAAATATCTTGAACTTCTGTGTATTTCTGTTAAAGTGTCCTGTTGTTTAATGCTGTAGGTGTCATTAATCGATTTGACCTTTATGAGTGATGTATGTATCATATAAAGATGCACCCTTGCTGCGTTGCTTGAGACGAGAACATGTCAACATTAATGCACCTGAAAGTACACACATCACCACCGAAAATGTAACAGTAAGCGCCGAAAACGTTGACGTTTTTAGGCAGGTTTGATGTTTAGGGGGCTCTAAGCGGTGGGCATATGAGTAAATGTCATCACCGTCAGATTCTCCTTCTTGCAGTACCCTCAGCGATTGAAAGAGGTTGACATTCTCCGACAACGAGCCATCTGGTTTTACTGTGTTGACCTCTTCTGCAGTGATTTTAGAATCAAGTGATAAATCTGAAAGCGTAGCAGCTACTTCTACTGATGGCGTCGTTGCTGGCATCACGGCTGATTTTAAGTCCGATGCCGTTGAATTGGATATGTCACGTTTAGTCACAGCTTTCAAATTTCTCCAGTGGCATGGCTGGCTCTGAAAGAAGAATTCTTTTAGTATAACAAGTAGCAAACGGTGAACTATGTGCGGTTTATACAGGGCATCGGCCATGACACATTCGAACATCGCATTCAATATAAAGGGCTGGCGATCCAGTAAAGCGGAAAGTCTTCATATAAGCGTACACCTGTGTTTCGAATACTCCGGATTCTGACCACGAACCACGGAAACGTGAAATTAATTTATCATCAACTGGACAGCCGTATTCATCTATGAGCTGGATTCTCTTGTTAGCACCATTGTGAGCATAGCAATCATTTACCACGATGTCAAAGCCATCTGTCGAATGATACGTATGTATGTAGCGAATATATGGATTCGCTTGTACAGTCCTAATAAAAAGTATACAAACCGTATTTGCTGCGCATGTAAATGATCAAAGTAAGTGGGTCGCCGACACGCACTGGTCCGGTGACACGTGGTCCGCCGATACCGTATCCATTTTGTATTTCCATGTAGCACTCAGGGGGACTTAGAGTAAAGACGACAGGATTACCAGTCGCTACTCTGTTTGACGTCAGTTTAAAATGCATTTAAGTAAAAAGTTCCATAAGATAAATATCATTACCGTAGTATAGAAAGGCTAAGCTATTAGAACTTACTCAACATCTAAAAATGGAAAAGTGACCGTCTTCCAAAAATCATAGCCATACTCGCAAGTGACTTTGAAATGTTCATCGTATTCTTCTTCTATAAGCGGGTTGTATTGAACTGTCACAGTGTTCCACATAAAGTTCTATTACATAAAAATATATACATATAATCAAATATTTTTTAAACAGATTTTCTTAAATTTTACAGTTGGATTTTTCCTCTTTTCGTCATGAAGTGCATTTTTTCCCAAAGTTCCGCAGCGATTTAACTGAATGTAGAACTCATAATAGTCTCGACCTGAACCATTTATGTACATGCAGTCAGGATCATAAGCATAGCCTGCCGAATACACTAGCCCGCTGAAGGTGGAGTTAAAGCCAATCCGTATTTTCATGTAGTCGTCTTGACACTCAGCCTCTATATCTGTGTGATGGAATGTATGTAGAAATTAGTAGCAGTACATTGAAGTAGCCTTTAACAATATGGAACAATATTGAGGAACATTTGTTTTTTTTTAGAGTGCACAAAATTATATGAATATTTTCGAATTATTTATTCATACAAATTTTCAGTTCAATGGAATTATCTGAAGAATCTTTTAACCGATAAAGCAAATATTACTAGTATGGAGCAGATTTCCATGCAAATGCATGTATATTTTGCACATCTGGTACACAAAATAAAAAAAATAACTTTTTGAACTATCAAATTTTATTTAATACGGCCTCACGGTGTGCTTGAACCAAGTTTAATGCAAAAGTTTTCTATGACGGGATTTTCCTATCGGATGTGGCTCTGTGGCATTCTAGGAACGGTTTACCGTCAAAATAAAAATCGGCGAACGGACCCTTTGCGAGAAAAGTCGATTTTAGTATCGGTGACTTTTTCCATTAATTCAAAACGCGAAATTTTTTGAGTTTGGTGCCTGGTGCTTCTTTTTTTGGTTGGAAGACACCAAAATTGTAAATGTGAAACAAAAATGGAAGTTAAATTTGGAAACAAAATAACGGCACAATGACAATCATAAGCGAAAGAGCATAAGTTTGTCAAAATAAATATGTGGCAGCACTTTCAATAATGCCAGAATTACATAAGGTAATTTGCCATTGCCTTAAAAATCTCCATATTGCTGGGACCAGAAATCGATCTTAAGAACTTTAGTTTGGGCTGAATTTGTTATATTTTTTAGGAATACTAAAAAAAGGCACCAGCATCTCCTAACAGTAAAATTAATAACGAACCTTTTTAAAAACGAATAATCGAGTAGGCAGCTTTTTTTACACAAAAAGATTTTTTCCACTATGCGCGGTGGATGCGTTCAAATAAGACACTTTAAAAAGGGAAATCAAATTTTGTTATTTTTCAGGTGTGAATCGGTCTGAAAGAAAAGTTCTTTACGTTCCTTTAGTTCACGAGATCATAAGAGACTACAGTGTAAATTTAAACTTCCACATAGTTCATGAAACTTCATTTTTTGTTGTTAGTTTCCTTTGATAGGAATTGTAGAAAAAATTAAGCAAAACGAAGAAAAATTAGAAAATAAGTACCAAAATATTCGCCCTAAAATATTTGATTTTATAGAAAATAGAATAAATTCGACCACCAAGCAAGAAACATTAAATTTTATTAATTTGAATCGGCATACCTACAATAAAATTCTGTATGCATACAAAGTCCATTAAAACCTCCAATACAAAATTTGGTGCTTTTTTCGAGAAAAATGCGATTTTTCTTTGGGTTTTAGTGCTTTTTCAAATTCAAAACTTGGCAACACTGCCAAAAAGCCAGTAAGAGCCCAGTTACACGGTATGTATTTCCATATGTAAATGCTACTTTTCTGATGCGTTCTAATATATGATAAATATGTAAGAGTACATGCAAAAAAGTAGCATTTACATGTGCAAATACATATTATTATTGTTATTATTATACATATCGTGTAAGAGCCCTGTAACACAGGTCAACAAAAATTAAAAAAAAAAATTGGTGCGACAAATGTTAAAGCTGTTTTTGATAGATTCTTTTGTGCTGATTACGAATCCGTAAGTATAAAATTTCCATCAGCTCGAGATTTTCAGAAAATGTTGTTTTTTTTTTGAAATATTTTAGAAGCTCAAGCAAAGAAACAAAATGTGATAGAACCTCCCACTTACGCCTAAACTAAATCTAGAACTCTCGACTACTATCCCTAAAAATACCACCCCTGCTTCAAGATCTGGTGGTCACTTATAGTCATTTATGGTGTTCTTACACGAAATGTATTTGCATCTGTAAATGTGACTTTTTCCAATACATATGTAATTGCCTATTTGAAAACGAAATAAACTAAACTCAGATGACTCTATCTGCGTGTCAGATGAAAGTAGAAACATTTCTCTTTCGCATGTACGTGCATCTGCTTTGTACAGAAACAAATCTAAATTGCCTTTACACGATATGTTGGCATTTCCTAACATAACTTTCATGTTCGGGATATAGATTCTTTGGAGCAATAGAAATATTATCGTGTACAAATTTTATATAAAATCAGAAAATATTGAGCGTTTTAAGGCAAACAATTTTTGAAAAAATAGCAAATTCGTTTTTATTACCAAAATGCTCGAAAACTGCTCGAATGATTTTGTTTTTGTTTTCTTTGATCAGAAATTCAGGTGTTTTCCTTTCGTTTGGTATATGGGAAGTATTGGTTGATATCTTCTAGGTATATTTATTTTATTCAAATATATGCGCATAAACATGCATGATAAGTGAGAGAAGGAGACAAAAAGTATGTGTGAGTAGATATTTCGGCTTTTGGGTAACAGATGTCACAATATTTATAACCTAATCGCAGCGTATGTATGTAAATGCATACATACATATCGTCGTTTAAAAAGCAAAACCGCGTATCAACAAAATGCAAAAACGCGTATCAGCAAAATGCAAAACCGCGTATGTGAGGTTGTAGAAATTATTTTCTAGAGCATAAAAACACTCATATTTCAAAATGGTTCTCTTTTATATAAATCAATCTCATTTCTGGCTAGTATATTTCAGGACGAATGGATAAGGATTGAGCCAAGAGCTTGTGTGAGCAAATCCAATTTCTGGCAGCCAATGTCAGTTACGCGGTTTTGTACTTTAAACGACGATATGTACATACATACATATGAATGCATAATGCGCGAAACCTTTTTCGCCATGTCAGATCTGTTTTCGATTTTACAAAATGATGTTTCAAATGAAAGGGCTTGGCCTGTGGATGTGCAATAACTTCTTTTTTCAAAAAGAGTTGCCACCTGATAAAGAAAATCAAATTAAAATTATCTTTAAGTTAAATTAATTATTACACTATGAGTACCAATCGAAATGATTTGAAAAGGCTTTATTTTTTAATTTTATGCGGAAGGGTTGCCACCTGTTTCAAAAGGCAAGTTCGACTTAAATAAAGGCAAAAAAATGGAAATGTATATCCTGATATGGATTTCCGACGAAAGAGGTTGTGGTTTGCAAATATTTGGCAGAGGGCTGCCACCTTGTTACAAAGTTAGATTCAATACAAGCAATAGGTTAAATAAATTACTTTAATATGAATATAAATCAAAATTGTTTTGAATAAACTTTATTTCTAAACTGTATGTAGGAGGGTTGCCACCTGACTTTATAATTAAATTCAATTTTAATTAAGAGTATTAGATAATTTAAATATGTATCACAAAACAAGTGTCAGACGAAAAAGGTTTAACGAGGTTTTGGTTTAAAAATAACATGAACAGGATTGCCATCTGTTTGAAAAGGCGAATTAAATTAAATTATATTAAATATTGAAATATGGGCATCAAAAAAAGGAGTATTAAGAAATATTTAGTTTGGGCATTTATAACATTAAAGAGGGTTTCCACCTGTGTAAAAAGTAAACTCTAATTATTTAATAAATCAAATTTTTTTGCAATTGATAGTTATTTATTAAATTTAATTAAATACAAGCGAAATGAATATTTCATGTACCGTTTTTAACTTGAATGTGATCTTAATAATATCACGTATTCTGCGTTTAAGTTTAGCGGCTGGACTGACCCTTTTTTTCAATACCACAATTTTCAAGTATTTTTTCATTGTTCAAAAAAGGACTATAAGTGACCATCAAGTCAAGGAATTGGAGCATAATCAACACAATATATGCACAAAACCGCGTATCAAGATAATTCAAAAAATTATTTTCTAGATAGTAAAAATACTCATGATTCTCTTTTTAACCGACTTCCAAAAAATGAGGAGGTTATCAGTTCGTCGGAATATTTTTTTTTTTTTTTTTTTTTTTTTNCCGATTTCGATAATTCTTTTTGCATCGGAAAGGTAGTGTCTCAGAGGTGGTCCCATACTAATCAGGTTGAGATCCGATCAGTGGATCATGAGATATATATATATATATTTTTTTTATATGGGAGTTGAAGTCGGGTTTTTTTTGCTAAAAATTACTAGTTTATAAAGCAGTCGCATTTCTGGCTAGTATATTTTAGGACGAATGGATACGGATTGAGCCAAGAGCTCAATGGTCAGATGTGAGCAAATCCAATTTTTGGCAGCCAATGTCAGTTACGCGGTTTTGTGCTTTAAACGACGATATATATTATTTCACAGATCTTAGGGTCAGCTTAGAAATACGCCACCAAAATTATTTAAAATTTAAATGGGAATAATTATTATTTATAACGTAAAAGCGCTATCTGATTCAATCTGATAAGTATGTATATTTCTCCTAAATTTAACCCATTTTATTTACTCACTCTATGTCTTTCGTGAAAATATATATTTTATTAAAAATGATCAGATATGTACATATATTTTAAAATTTTTGCTTTCATTTTTGTCTCCTTTTAATATTTAATTAGATACGTTAAGAATGTAAAAAGTTTAAAACGAAAGAGCACAGGAACCCTTTTCTGTTAATCTTGAGCACACAAAACCCTTTTTTGTTAAAATTCGGTGCTGCACAAAATCTTAGCTTTCCAAATCCATCAAAATAGCACTTCACAACCCTGGATTTCCCGAAGCGTTTCGTTCGGGTCGTAGTTTTGCAACTTCGGGTCATTCGGCGTTGTTTGCCATATTGACTGCCATATTGTTCACACTGTCATCGCCATACTGAATACCCTGTCAATTATCTGTCAACCCCAGGATATCTCACTTGTATTCTTCCACAATGATCTCCGCATTCTGGCCAGACTTCTAGCTAGTTTTTCAACCCTTCGCGAGTTAAAAACATGGCTGCGTAGTACCGTGAATGAAGCACTTTTACACGTACAGTTATGGTGATAAATACAATTACTTTGAAAATATGCAAAATCGTAGTCTATGTACAAGTACTCCATACCTTTCCGATATTGAATAGGTATCGGTACCTTGTTTGATATATGTACAAGTATGGAGTTGAGTAATACCTTGATGATATCGATTTAT